AACCACCCCGATGTGACATAGGTTGACCTAAAAGAGAAAATCAAGGCTAGACCCCGTTCAAACGAACCAATCTCGCCTCAGTCACCCACCTTTCACTGAAGACTGTCGAATGCAATCGTTTTCTACCAGTTCTAATCTTCATCGTGAGCTGATGCTCAAAGAATCAGATCAGATCAGATCCTGATGAGAAAGACGGTTGCCTCGCAAGACTTTCTTCGTCCGCGTCGTCCAAATCACCATTCGAGCCGTGGCCAGCAGCGTCAGAAACACCACCCGTTTCACCCCAGAATACGGGGGGCGACACATTGTCACACGCGTATGCGCGATCAATGGGCACGAGCTTTTCGGGGGAGAGACGAGTCATCAACTCGCCGTCATGGTCCCATAAAGGGGTGGACCCGGGGTTAATGGTAGAAGGCGTTCGAAGCCGTTTCTTCTAAACCAATGCCACACCATCCGCAGTCTGACAAATCCGCCAAGCCCCATATGAAAGGCCTTGTCGTTGAGAGGCAGCCGATTCTGGAGCCAATCGCCAGGTAAGAGAAAAACTCAGGGTGAATGAACAACGAAGAAATGTGAAAAATCCACACGTGCATAAATAAAATATATTAACAAGATAGCCTCCTCGGAATGACTGAAAAGACTGGTTTTCAACAAGAGTAATTTTATTAAAAAAGGAAAAACAAGTAATTTGTCCCGTGGTAGGGACCAATGAATAAAGTTCCGCGCCAAAATAAAAAAAAGATGGCTAAAAGCGGGAAAAAGGTTCTTGAAGAAAAAATGGTTCCAGATAAGTCAATGTACATGGTAATATTCATACAAGGAAAAATACTCACTGCGAGTTTTTTACCGTAATGTGAATGTGAAATGTTATGTACGTATTTTTTTTTTTTTTTTTTTTTTTACTGGTTCAAAACAGATTTCTGACGAGACCCAAAGTGGACGACGGAAAGTTTTGTATGTTCTGCATCGTCTCGGACCCGTAGGACTTTGAATGACGAGTCTCAAAGGGCGTGAGGAATTAATTTTTGGATGTTTTGCATCATCTCGAGGAGGACTTTTGTCCCGTGGTAGGGATGACGAGCCTAAAAAACAAGATGGGGCCGAAAAGGTTCTTGATTAATATTTTGGATTTACATCGTCTCGAAAATGGGTTTTGAATGACCAGCCCAAAGGGACGAGGAATTAATTATTCTGGTGTTTGCATCGTCTCGTAAAAATGATTCTCAAAGGGCCGAGGAATGACGAGCCAAAAGTGACGAAAAAAAATTATTTGGTATTGCATCGTCTCGAAAAAGGGAACGAAGAATTTCTTTATTTGGTAATGACCAGCCAAAAGGAATGACGAAAAGAAAAAATTAATTATTTGGTATTTGCATCGTCTCGGAAAAAAGGGATTAATTAATGACGAAAAAATGAAAAAAATTAATTATTTGGTATTGCATCGTCTCAGAAAAGGATTCTTAAATGACCAGCCAGAAGGGACGAAGAATTAATTATTTGTGGTCGCATAGTATTATATCCTTCGTCAGTCAAACTGAAATATTGACATGGATAAAAATGAGTCTGCTCAGGTCAGAGTCTGGAACACAACTCACTTTTTTTCAAACAACAGTTTGTCGTTGACGTCACAAATTTTTCGCGGCAAGATTTCAAAAATCTAATTTGCATAAACAGTAGTAGCAAGACGTTTGGTTGGTGACCAAAGCAGTTACTACTGTATTAGACCGAACGAGGGAGAAAGGGGGTGTCAAACGCGCGCGCACACACACACGAGTGACGGAGAAAGGGAGGCAACTCGCGCGCGCGTAAAATGTCGTAGATGGAATAATACATTATTCCACACAGCCCTCCTCCTGGATCAAATGTCGCAGACATTTGACTAATAATAGTAGAATGTTTCAAATTTCTTTGGAAAGGTGACTTTTCGACCGGAGCTGGTATACTTAGGCTTGTCGAGAGAAACAGGTGTCTTAAAATTCTCCTGAACTTGCGGAGTTGATTGGGAAGTAGTATGAGACGACGGTTTCTCTATAAAGGCAGGTTTCAACCGATCTATTGAAACGTTGTCGGTGTGAATACCTTTTTGTATTTGGAAATATTTGTCCGCGCGTTTAAGAACGCGGTATGGGCCTGTGTAGGCCGGCGTAAGAGGCCGCTTAACAGAGTCGTTACGTACAAATACAAATTCACAGTCTTTTAGCTGGTGCGGTAAATAGATATCACTCGGGCAGTGCCGCGGTGGTGTATAGCATAAGTTTGCCATTTTAAGGCGTAAGTCCTGAATAAAAGAGGAAGAAACTGGTGGTGTGGTCACAGCTGGCGAAAAATATTGGCCAGGTAAAGATAACGAAGTACCAAATACAAGCTCTGCAGGGGGAGCATTTCAAGTCATCCTTAAGAATATTTCGTAACGATAGAAGGATGAGGGGTAATTCATCGACCCAATTATTATTCTCATGCTTCGTTGATAGCGAAGCCTTAAAGGGTGCGATGGAATCGTTCCACCAGGCCATTAGCACAGGGGTGATACGCTGTAGTACGTATGTGCTTTGCACCAAGGAGTTCAGTGAATTCCCTGAAAAGACACGACTGAACTGTGCTCCTCTATCTGTAGTAACCACTTTAGGAGTTCCAAAATCGAAATCCAGTCGCTTAAAATAGCTTTTTGCGACAGTCACAGCAGTGGTATCTTTAACAGGGATGGCAGTAGGCCATCGGGAAAAACGATCCACTATAGTTAGAAGGTAGGAATAACCGTGGCAGGTTGGTAAGGGCCCAACTAAGTCCAGGTGTATATTAGTAAAACGAGCATCAGGCTCACTGAAAGTGCCCACGGGAGATTTTGTGTGTCTATGCACCTTACACTTCTGACATTGTAAACAAGTATTAACCCATTCGCGAATGTGAACGTTCATATTCGGCCAAACGAAACGGTCCGAAATTAACTTAACTGTGGCTCTTTTGCTAGGGTGTGAGAGTCCGTGTAGGTGGTCAAAAACCTGTCTACGAAGAGACGGAGGAAATATAAGGTCTTGGAGATTTGGATTTTACATCACAGTATAAGACCTTGTTACTAAAAAGGAGCTGGACATTTCTGAAGTTCTAAAGAAGTGTCTGATAACACATGCTTCAGAGTTATGTCCGCTTCCTGTTCGTCAGCGATCAAATCTTGACTGAGTGCATCAGTATGCACGCCGAACATCTCAGTACGCGATAGGGTATCGGCGACAGTGTTATCCGAACCCTTAATGTACCTAATATCAGTAGTAAATTGCGATATATAGTCCAGGTATCTGATCTCCCTCGAAGTATATTTGTCCGAATTAGTGGACATAACGGACGTTAAAGGTTTGTGGTTCGTAAATATAACGAAGGACCTACCTTCGAGGAGGTGTCTGAAATGCTTAATGGCACGAAATATAGCCAACAGTTCACGAGAAAAGGTACTGTAGCGTGACTGGGCAGGAGAAAGTTTAGCGGAAAAGAACGCTATAGGTCTACGTTTAGAAGGACTGACTTGTTCAATGACCGCGCCTATTGCTGTTTCGCTAGCGTCAGTGGTCAGGTAGATATCCGATTTAGGGTCGTCCTCTAAGAAACTAAGCTTAGAAAAATTGCCTAGAGCGGTTTTAGCTGCTCGAAAGGCGTCCAAGGCTTCATTCTCAAGTATAATAGTCTTATTCTTCTTCTTCTGTAATAAGTTGGTAAGGGGAGTCAGGATGTTAGAACAGTTTGGAATAAATCTCCTGTAGAAGTTGATCATCCCTATAAAGCGTCTTAACTGTTTAATAGAAACAGGGACGGGAAACTCAGTGATAGCTTTAATCTTTTCAGTTAAAGGGCAATTCCATTTGCATCGACATGATGTCCTAAAATTTATATGGTCTGATCCGAAGACACATTTGTCCAGGTTTAGACGAAATCCGTAATGGGACAAACGTTGAAGAACTTCGTGTAGGTGTTGTTTATGCGAGGCAGCGTCCTCGCTAGCTATCAGAATGTCGTCAATGTAATCGAAAACAAAAGGGAGTCCACGCAGAACCTCGTCCATAAGACGTTGGAATGTTTGTGCTGCGTTGCAAAGGCCAAAAGGCATTTTCAAAAATTCAAATAGACCGAAAGGTGTAGTAACAGCAGTTTTGGGACATCAGCAGCAGCTACTGGCACCTGATAATATGCTTTTTGCTAGATCTATTTTAGTAAAAATCTTTGCGCCTTGTAAACCAGAAGTGAAATCGTGGAGGTGGGGGATTGGATAACGATCCCGGACGGTGATGGAATTCAATCTTCTATAATCCACACAAATTCTATAGTCCTCCTTTCCTGGTTTAGGTACTAAATGAAGAGGGGAAGCGTAAGGACTGTCGGACGGACGAATAACACCCTCTCGTAGCATGTCGTCGAAAGCTTTCTTTGCGAATTTTAATTTGTTAGGTGCTAGACGACGAGGACGGAAAAAACAGGTTGACCAGTGGTCTTAATAAAGTGCTGTGTTTGATGTTTAGTTGAATCAATAGATCCAGCAGGACGCAGGAGGTCCTGGTACTGATTCAATAAATCTAAGTACTCTTTATTGTGGCACGTTGCCACGGTGATGCCAGTGGTAGTAAGTTTAGAATAAGTGCCAAGAACACACAGTCTTGTTAAGTTGTCAGTCAGGGAATGATTGTTCATTCGCACGGCGAGATCATAGTGCGCCAGGAAATCGGCACCTAGTATCGGCATCTGGACGTCAGCAACAGTAAAATTCCAAGTGAAGTCTCGTCGCATCCCTATGTTTAGGGTAAGGGACTTCGTACCGTAAGTATTAATACTGGAACCATTTGCTGCTTTGTAAGCGGAGCTGAAAAGGTTGTTGACGAGCTTTATCACGCACGGGTAAGACACTAATGGCAGCGCCGGTATCAACCAAAAAACGTAAATTATTACGCGTGTCCGTCACATAAAAAGGCGACTAAGTTTTGGTGAAAATGCCTTGCCAGCGAGATTAGTCGCTTTCACTCGCTGGCGGTTTTGTTTTCCGCGACCGCAGTATAAGTACACGGCTTGACGCAGTAATGAGCTTTAGACCCAAATCTTCGGTGGTAGTAACACATAGTAGGAGTGGCATCCTTATCTCGACTGGACGAGCGTGGTCGACTTCTGAAGCGCCGGCGGGAAGGGAACCGGCTTCGACCACGGCTCTTTAGAGCCAATGTTAAATCCTTAACTTGGCGCTGCAAATCCTCGACTGTTTTTTCCAAGGACCTGTGGTCCCCAGTCGCTTCAGCACTGTGTACCGGCGTTGTCTGATTATCCAGTTGCGAGAAAATACGATCCGCGGCGTCCGCTAATTGATCGATCGAGGTGTTTTCGGACATTGGCGCCAAAATTTGGGTTATGGTGGTGGGGAGACGGTCCAGCCACAAGCTTTTTAATATAGAGTCGGCCATGGTATTTTTGCCGAGTCGGCTTTTCATATAACGAAGAAGTTGGGAGGGAGTCCTGCCATCACAAGTTAGGTTGCTAAATAGTTCCCGGATTAATGACTCCTCTGTACGGCCCATTCTCCTTAAGATTGCTTCTTTTTAACCGCGCGTAGGGTTCTACTTCAGGAACGGCTTCTAGGAAGTCTGAGACCTCATCAACAATGGCGGGTGGCAAAACCGCCACCACGTGGCCAAACTTGGTCTTTTGGTCTGTAATCCTTCTGACTGTGAAAATGGCTTCCATTTGTAAGAACCAGTTCTTTATATTCCCTTCATGAAAGGGGGGAAAAAGGAGCGACGGCGGCGGACATGTTCGCCAACTCTTCAGAGTCACTAGTCGTCATTCCGGCTATCGAATTTAAGCACGTTTATATTTCAGCTTGCTCAGAAATATGTTAGCAAGGTTGCAAAATTATTACGTGTTCAATCACGTCGGGTCACCAATCTTGTTGCAGGACCCGGTAGGGTGCAGTGCTGGATTATACTGAATGGCCTTGTGCCAGACACCACACTAAACTACTGAGCCTACAAGCAAAGCAAAAGATAAAATTGCGTGAATGAACAACGAAGAAATGTGAAAAAAAATCCACACGTGCATAAATAAAATATATTAACAAGATAGCCTCCTCGGAATGACTGAAAAGACTGGTTTTCAACAAGAGTAATTTTTATTAAATGCAGGAAAAACAAGTAATTTGTCCCGTGGTAGGGACCAATGAAAAAGTTCCGCGCCAAAATGAAAAAGCAAGATGGCTAAAGGCGGGAAAAAGGTTCTTGAAGAAAAAAGATACCAGATAAGTCAATGTACATGGTAATATTCATACAAGGAAAAATACTCACTGCGAGTTTAGGTAATGTTGTTATGTGTTTTTTTTTTTTTTTTTTTTTTTGTGTACTGGTTCAAAACAGATTTCTGACGAGACCCAAAGTGGACGACGGATTGTTTGTATGTTTTTCCTTTTTTTTTTTTTTGTTTTGCATCATCTCGGAGGAGGACTTTGAATGACGAGCCGAAAAAACAAATTTAATTACGTAGGCATCCAAAGGGTCTTGAATGACCAGCCTCAAAAGAACGAAGAATTAATTATTTGGTATTTGCATCGTCTCGGAAAAAGATTATGAATGACGAGCTTTGAAAAAATTATTTGGTATTGCATCGTCTCAGAAAAAGGGGTCTTGAATGACCAGCCAGAAGGAACGAAGAATTAATTATTTGGTTTGGTATTTGGATTTTGATCATCTCGTCTCAATGACGAGAATGACAAAGCAAAAGGACGAAAAGTTATTCTTAAATGACGAGCCAGAAGGGACGAAGAATTAATTATTTGTTCGCATAGTAAGATTTCCTTCGGGTCAACCTGAAATTTTGACATGGATAAAAATGAGTCTGCTCAGGTCAGAGTCTGGAACACCAACTTTTTCTTCAAACAACAGTTTGTCGTTGACGTCACAAATTTTTTCGCGGCAAGATTTCAAAAATCTAATTTGCATAAACCGTAGTAGGACGTTTGGTGAACAAAACAGTTACTACTGTATTAGACCGAACGAGGGAGAAAGGGGGGTGTCAAACGCGCGCGCACACACGAGTGACGGAGAAAGGGAGGCAACTCGCGCGCGCGTAAATGTCGTTATTGGAATAATACATTATTCATTTGGATAGTCTTCAAAAAAAGACATTTGACTAATAACGTAGAATGTTTCAAATTTCTTTGGAAGGTGACTTTTCGACCGAGCTGGTACGAAGTCGAGAGAAACAGGTGTAAAATTCTCCTGAACTTTGATTGGGAAGTAGTGAGACGCATTTCTCTCGGTTTCAAAGATCTATTGAAACGTTGTCGGTGAATACCTTTTTGTATTTGGAAATATTTGTCCGGACGAAGAATTAATTATTTGCCGGCGTAAGAGGCCGCTTAAAAGAGCATTACGTACAAATACATATCCTTCGGAACGGTCAATAGATATCACTCGGGCTGAAATGGTTATAGCATAAGTTTGCCATTTTAAGGCGTAAGTCCTGGGAAGAAACTGGTAAAAAAAAATATTGGCCAGGTAAAGATAACGAAGTACCAAATACAAGTCTGCAGTCATCCTTAAGAATATTTCTAGAAGGATGAGAGGTAATTCATCGAAATTATTATTCTCATGCTTCGTTGATAGAAGCCTTAAGGGTTTGGAATCGTTCCAAACAACAAAATTTGTCGTTGACGTCACAAATTTTTGGCAGAAAATTCGGGAATTCAAAACGATTTCTGTTAAAAAATCTAATTTTTTATGTCACAGCATTTAACAGGGATGGCAGTAGTAGGAAAAACGATCACTCAGTTAGAAGGTTGAGGTTGGTAAGGGCCCAACGGGTGTATATTAGTAAAACGACCAAAGTTCATATTCGGCCAAACGAAACAGTCCGAAATTAACTTAACTGTGGCTCTTTTGCTAGGGTGTGAGAAGGGTGGTCAAAAACCTGTCTACGAAGAGACGGAGGAATATAAGGTCTTAGAGATTTGGATTTTACATCACAGTATAAGACCTTGTTACTAAAAGGAGCTGGACATTTCTGAAGTTCTAAAGAAGTGTCTGATAACACATGCTTCAGAGTTATGTCCGCTTCCTGTTCGTCGGCGATCAAATCTTTGACTGAGTGCATCAGTATGCACGACAAACATTTCAGTACGAGATAGGGTATCGGCGACAGTGTTATCCGAACCCTTAATGTACCTAATATCAGTAGTAAATTGCGATATATAGTCCAGGTATCTGATCTCCCTCGCAGTGTATTTGTCCGAATTAGTGGACATAACGGACGTTAAAGGTTTGTGGTCCGTAAATATAACGAAGGACCTACCTTCGAGGAGGTGTCTGAAATGCTTAATGGCACGAAAATAGCCAACAGTTCACGAGAAAATGTACTGTAGCGTGACTGGGCAGGAGAAAGTTTAGCGGAAAAGAACGCTATCGGTCTACGTTTAGAAGGAGGACTTGTTCAATGACCGCGCCTATTGCTGTTTCGCTAGCGTCAGTGGTCAGGTAGATATCCGATTGAGGGTCGTCCTCTAAGAAACTAAGCTTAGAAAAATTGCCTAGAGCGGTTTTAGCTGCTCGAAAGGCGTCCAAGGCTTCATTCTCAAGTATAATAGTCTTATTCTTCTTCTTCTGTAATAAATTGGTAAGGGGAGTCAGGATGTTAGAACAGTTTGGAATAAACCTCCTGTAGAAGTTGATCATCCCTATAAAGCGTCTTAACTGTTTAATAGAAACAGGGACGGAAACTCAGTGATAGCTTTAATCTTTTCAGTTAAAGGGGCAATTCCATTTGCATCGACATGATGTCCTAAAATTCTATATGGTCTGATCCGAAGACACATTTGTCCAGGTTTAGACGAAATCCGTAATGGGACAAACGTTGAAGAACTTCGTGTAGGTGTTGTTTATGCGAGGCAGCGTCCTCGCTAGCTATCAGAATGTCGTCAATGTAATCGAAAACAAAAGGAGTCCACGCAGAACCTCGTCCATAAGACGTTGGAATGTCTGTGCTGCGTTGCAAAGGCCGAAAGGCATTTTCAAAAAATTCAAATAGACCGAAAGGTGTAGTAACAGCAGTTTTGGGACATCAGCAGCGGCTACTGGCACCTGATAATATGCTTTTGCTAGATCTATTTTAGTAAAAATCTTTGCGCCTTGTAAACCAGAAGTGAAATCGTGGAGGTGGGGGATTGGATAACGATCCCGGACGGTGATGGAATTCAATCTTCTATAATCCACACAAATTCTATAGTCCTCCTTTCCTGGTTTAGGTACTAAATGGAGAGGGGAAGCGTAAGGACTGTCGGACGGACGAATAACACCCTCTCGTAGCATGTCGTCGAAAGCTTTCTTTGCGAATTTTAATTTGTTAGGTGCTAGACGACGAGGACGGGAAAAAACAGGTTGACCAGTGGTCTTAATAAAGTGCTGTGTTTGATGTTTAGTTGAATCAATAGATCCAGCAGGACGCAGGAGGTCCTGGTACTGATTCAATAAATCTAAGTACTTTTATTGTGGCACGTTGCCACGGTGATGCCAGTGGTAGTAAGTTTAGAATAAGTGCCAAGAACACACAGACTTGTTAAGTTGTCAGTAAGGGAATGATTGTTCATTCGCACGGCGAGATCATAGTGCGCCAGGAAATCAGCACCTAGTATCGGCATCTGGACGTCAGCAACAGTAAAATTCCAAGTAAAGTCTCGTCGCATCCCTATGTTTAGGGTAAGGGACTTCGTACCGTAAGTATTAATACTGGAACCATTTGCTGCTTGTAAGCGGAGCTGAAAAGGTTGTTGACGAGCTTTATCACGCACGGGTAAGACACTAATGGCAGCGCCGGTATCAACCAAAAAACGTAAATTATTACGCGTGTCCGTCACATAAAAAAGGCGACTAAGTTTTGGTGAAAATGCCTTGCCAGCGAGATTAGTCGCTTTCACTCGCTGGCGGTTTTGTTTTCCGCGACCGCAGTATAAGTACACGGCTTGATGCAGTAATGAGCTTTAGACCCAAATCTTCGGTGGTAACAAATTAGTAGGAGTGGCATCCTTATCTCGGCTGGACGAGCGTGGTCGACTTCTGAAGCGCCAGCGGGGAGGGAACCGGCTTCGACCACGGCTCTTTAGAGCCAATGTTAAATCCTTAACTTGGCGCTGCACCTCGACTGTTTTTTCCAAGGACCTGTGGTCTCCAGTCGCTTCAGCACTGTGTACCGGCGTTGTCTGATTATCCAGTTGCGAGAAAATACGATCCGCGGCGTCCGCTAATTGATCGATCGAGGTGTTTTCGGACATTGGCGCCAAAATTTGGGTTATGGTGGTGGGGAGACGGTCCAGCCACAAGCTTTTTTTAATATATGAGTCGGCTTTCATAAACGATTTTTGCCGAGTCGGCTTTTCATATAACCCATTCTCCTTAAGAAACCGTTGGGAGGAGTCCTGCCATCAACAATGGCAAAACCACCACGTTAGGGTTGCTAAATAGTTCCCGAGCCTACAAGCAAAATATTAAAAATGCGTGAATGAACAACGAAGAAATGTAAAAAAAACACACGTGCA